GGAATGTCCTCGGATGTGGGTGGCTTGATGGCAATATGCGTAACATTGACATTGATTGTAATGTCGTTTCCGTCCTGATATCGCGGATTGCAATAAAATGTGAAAGGAAGCGGAAAAGGTATGATCGTAATGGGATTAATGGCACGTCCTATTATGGAACGTACATGAAAAACCTTTCACGCACATCCTATTACCGGCTCAGTAAACAAAGTGTGCCATGAGAAATGATCAATGCAAATAAGATAAGTTGGTAGGATTTTTATGTTATAATATCGCGATATCCTAGCTCCATTAAAATATTCGATTATTTATACGTATATGCATGCAGACGCTTAAAAAGAACATATTAAATGAGGAAATTTTAATATGGATCATTATTACGTTTTGCACAGAATTAAATATTTAAAAGAATTCATGTATTATATTTTATTTTCCGGAGGGCAATGTAACTTTCAGCAGTTTATTTTTTTGTGTGTCAATTGCTTTTAAAATTAAAATCGATAAGCTCTGTGAATGTCGGATGACTTATTCCCGGTTGCGTTAAAATCGGTTAATCGTCGTGAATAAATCCAAGGTCTCATCGTCGAATCTCCTTAAAAAGATTTAGAACAAGGACATGAATGTATGCTTGCCCGCGAAATTGTGAATGAATTCTTTAGAGAGAAGGGTTATTTTTGTTATATACGTGAATCTGTTTGATCTAATGAAAGCCGCCATCTTCCATATTCAGTAATTCGTTCAATCTGCAATTCATTATATCTGCAGTTCATAGAATCGTCAAGCAGTTTCATGGGAAAAACATTGACCATTATTTATGTTTATTTACCTCCATTTGTAAGCTAAGAATTCTCTAAAGCTGCTTCAAATTCTTCATTACAATTGTATGTATATGATATCACACGAGTAAATTTTCTCTCTATCTCTCTCTCTCTCTCTCTCTCACACACACAAACTTTTTTATTTTGCTTTTAATCATCTATAATTAATTTTCTTCTCTTCCATTGAGAAATGTGATAAAGAAGGGAGATTTATAAGGTCAGTTAAAGTGTCAGTATAGTGGCACGTATAAGTACGTTTATGCGATGATAATTAAAATAATCAGGTTAATGTGACGGTAGAAACCGACGGATAAATATGATACTGCGATATTTCCCCACGATAGAAGTAAAATTGTCATCGTTTTTAATCATTTTACGACGACTGTTACCTTTGGACTGTTACCATGTCTGTCGCACAATTTTGCACCAAACTAATTAGAAGAGCACTTTTAATTAAGTGGATGGATTCCGTAAGGTATTATAGAATAGTCTTTTGTGGAAAAATATTTATTTTTTCATCAGGTTCATTTATTTATTCTACAGGTTTTCCTACTGGCTTTTCTTATCCATTGTTGACTTTATCTCGATTTTTTCATTCACATCGCTAAATAATTCCAAGAGACACGTCATCTATTCGCTTATTTAAGGCGTAAAAAAATTGCAACGTGGGAGCATTCTTTTACTTGTGTCGTCTAAAAATATGTCGCGCGTACATGCGGAGGCATCGAGACGCCGCGCCGCGCCGCGCCACGCCAAGGCGTTCTCGAGTTACCTTGGCGAGACTGATATGCGTTTTAATCAACAATGGATAAATATACACAAAATTATCTTTTAATATCTCTCATACGACGGACGTCTAATGAGTATCACATATAGCTATTTGCGCTTACATCGCGTGAAATACACAGTGCACTGCACTACGATGTATATTAACTTGGCTATGCTGACCGTCGTTGTCGCGTCGCTTGTATTTCTTGTACAATATCATCACTTTTAGCTAATTAATGCCAAGTTTCGACTTTAAGCTTTACGATCGAATTTTACACGTCTGTAGCGAATGAAAGACGTTCTCTTTACTCGTTGTCGTTATGGTATAACTGATGTAAGAAATGATTTTTCAACCATGCTGTCTAAAATGCGTAGCGTAAAGTAACTCTGTATTGACATTCGCCGATAGTGCTATTTTAATTTTAATATTCACTACTGCACGTTTTCGTCCAAGGCCGCGCGCGTCTGACACGCTGTATCTTGCCTTTACGCGGAATATATCGTCGGCATGAAAATGCACCGCGAACAAAAGAACGGAAAACATATTCGCGTGAAACGAGCGAAATTGAACGTTATATGGAATAAGACAAATATTTCTAGCGCGTGTCGTAACTCGTGGCGTATCTCGCAATTCTCTTCGTGACCCGCAATCTCTCAATAATTGCAGCACATAATGTTAAAGCAATAAACGTGGGAGGCGCAAATACGTAAGCGTTTTGAGCACTCGATTGCTTCGCTTTCCGCTTCTGTTCAATTTAACTTGTTTAGGAGTACCTTTCTACATGCATATTATATTTACGCGAAAGTCCTACACATCCATGCATGCCACTCGTATATTTGTATTATTGATATCACCCTGAAACGGTCAGGGTTATGAATATATCAATCCTGCAAAAGATGCAAGTCGGTCGCGCGAGCCTCATAAATTTACATTGCGATTCATGAATTATGTTTCTGAGATAGCGATTATACAATTAGAACGATTACGGCTACTTTGCGAATAGCAGCTGTCATAACCGCATCAAATCGCAATGACGTAATATATGCATGAAAACGCGAAAATTCGCGATGTGCAACGTAACTTAGCGATTCGCCTGGGTAGGAAACGCATTTGCGCCAATCTCGCTTTGGATTCGAGGAAACCTTTCCACGATTCGACGTAGCTTTAAGCCGTAATCACACTAGCGATTGAGCGATTGTGATTGACGATTGAGGATTATTTTTTAATCAATTAGAACAAAGCAGTTCACCGATTGCTTTTCTCTGATTGGTTGAGAAGTACTCCTCAATCGTCAATCACAATCGCGCAATCGCTAGTGTGATTACGGCTTTACACGTTGCTCGATTCACTTGCGTTTATGATCTGCATAATTCGGCGGAGCATTTTTACAATTCGCCGCCACTGCTAAGAAATCGAGTCGATTCACTATAGTGCGCAGTTAATGAAACTCGTACGTATCTGAGAATTGATCTGTTCGGTGAAAGTTATTCTCTGAGCTCGCTTTGATTGAAGTTTTTTAATAGAGCTATTTTATGAATTGACAATTATTCTATTTTCATTTTTGTTTATTCAGTGAAACAAGCAGGTATTGCTATTCAAACTGGTTTTTCACGCAAACTTCAGTTACGAAAATAACAGTTTTTTTTTTTTTTAATACGTTTGGTAATTGAAAAATATCTAGAATAAAAATTATTTTGAAATGTGAATCGCGATGGTAAATTATAGAACAGAATTCAAATCTCCTAAAAGGAAAATAGGATATCAGAGGGTTTAGAATTATTAAAGAGAAACAGTTTTGCAACGATGAGAGAAAAAGCTTTCCAAGATAGTAAGCTGTTGAGTTGATTGGTTTTGGTTTGCGCTTTTACATTGACGTCAAGCTTATACGTTCGCTCCGATTTGTCGGATCGTCAATTATTGCTCTATCCGGTCGATCGTACCGCCTAACTTCCCGTTCCTCTTCGCCGACGATTCTAAACGCGTTCTTTTATGATGCGGAATTTATTGATTATAATTTATTACTATAAATCTATCTACTAAAACAATTGTTTGCAACTTTAATAATTTAAATATGTCTCGCATTGTGAGTTATAATCGTAATAGACAATACAATCAAAAAGGTAGAATTCTATAAAAAATAAATAAAAATATAAAATAAAATGTCTTCATTTTTTTGATTGTTTTAAAAAGAAAATTTTATATAAAATATAGCAATGACAAGTCACGATAATGTCAAAATAACATATTAATGTTAAATGTTATGATAATGTTAAAATGAATTGTAATGATCAAAAAATTATTTTTTGTAATCATTTATACAATCATTTTGATGATATTTTAATATTATGATGATTTGTGTAATATAAAAAGATAATTTAGGATTCTATATGTATTTTGTCGATAATGAGATAATTTAAGGAGGCTCGTTTTGTCGACAAATTGTAATTGGAATAAGCAGAATATGTTAAAAGGGCATACAAAGCATGATTGGAAAATACACGCATGATAGTAAATTGCTTGTTCTAGCGAAAGATCCTGATAACGAATTTAATACGAATGAATTGTGAAAAGTTTGTCCCGTGCCAGTTTTGCCTCCGAACTGTCCATTAATCGCGCCGCGGCTATCGCGAACGTAGAAATCGAGGTTAATCCGCGTTTCATAGCACTGATCTCGGACACCGGCGATAGGCTTGACGTTGACGCATCGTTAAATGGACACTCGATCCCCTCGAAGGGAATCATTCTCAGTGAATCGATGTGAACAGGAGACAATGCACGAATGCAATACAGTCATATGTATGTATCATAGATTGGTCCTAGTCATCATTCAATAATCAGTCGTAGTATCGTAATTGCAACGCTATAGCTCAAGGATAAATTGAGACGAGTTCTTTCGCTAGCTTGCGATAGATAGACAGAACGTATCTCCCTCCGCTTAAGATACGAATAGATGGATTATAAGCTTGCACTATTAAATTAAGAAAGATTGTTTCTACAAATTTGACCTATATAGAAATAAATTACTTCAATTCGTTAAAGATCGATTTTGCAGAGACTTTAAAATCAGTCTTTAATAAATTGAAGTAATTTATTCTACAATGTATAGGTCAAAATTTTAAAGACAATCTTTCTTAATTTAATAGTGCAAGCTTATAATCCATCTTATTTCTTTCTTTATGTCACTAAATTTATTCTTTTTCTAAATTCTCGAAATTATATTTAGAACTTATTCCGCGAATTTCAGATTAAATGTGTTAATATAATTTTTTTATTTTAATTTCTTTCGGAAAGACGAGAAAGAATTAAAATAAAAATAGTAACGTTTGTGCATTCCAGCGTTAGAAAATATTTCTTTTCAATACTCTCCATGATTTCGACGTCATAACTAGAATACGCTTTCTCCTCTATTTCAGACGACTCTTACTACAGTTATGCCGGGTGGAATGGCAAGTCGTCGTTCAATCACTACATTTCGAATATCAGATTGATCGATAATCAAGATATAGAGAGAGTACGTCGAGCGACACCTGAAAAATCGGTGGTGACGACTGAGAAAGAAGAATCTAAGGATCAACCAGCAGCACAACCGCAACCACAGCAACAGCAGCAACCACAGCAGCAACAAGAGCAACCAAAGCAGCAGCAACAACAACAACAACAACAACAACCACAGCAACAGCAACATCCGCAACAAGCGACGGCAACACAACCGACGTCAAACGCAACCAATGCATCCGCCGACGTAACGTATTCCACAGTTTATTCGACCAGCGAAGCCACCACCGCCACCACCACTTCCACTGTTCGGCCATCTGATCCTATTTCTAGCTCCAAGCCGGATTTAAAAAAGAAGGCGTCGCAGACATCAAATCCTGCAACCGACACGGTAGGTGTCAGTGATGGATCTATTCAGTTATTTTTATGTTTAGATTCACGCGTGAGGCGAAAAGTTGCCAATTGCGTAGAGTCGCAACTGTTTAACAATTATGCATTTAAAACCTGTTCACAGACGACACTACACATATGGACAAATCGCACTCTGACAAATCGCAATATAACCGGTACCAGTAAGGAGCAGCAGCCGGAATCGTCGGCGGTTCTAAAGGACACAACAGAAGATGTTATGAAATCCGACGACAGCGATATTTCATTTAACAAATTCTCCGATGTGACCAACGCCACACTCACACAGAACAACATCACTAAAACGATGTACGACTCGCATCAGTATTATAACAGTACTTTTATCGTGGATGCCGATATCTGCAAAAAATATTGGGTCGACATGGACAATCATCCGGATCTCAGGGTCAATCATCTACTTAGCCAGAGTCATCGACGCGCCGCGGTGAGACTCACTTGTCATTATATTTCGTGTTATAGCAATTATTGTAAAAAATGAAAATGTACTCATTACTAAAATCTTATATATAATCAAAGGAAAAAGCGATTTAGATATAAATGCAGATTATGGTACATTCAGAATATTCAATCCCTATTATAGCAAAAGATTACTTAAAATAAGGAGAAAGTTTTGCTAAAATATTTAAGAATTTAGCTAGAGATACACAGATCTAAAAATAAATTTTTTTAAACTATCAAAATGATTATGTAGAAGTTGGTTGTTAAAATGTTAACTTTTTGCAGCATTGCTCATCGTTCTTGAATTTCTTACATGACTATTTTGGTGATTCATAAAATTATTTTTTTATATGTATCTACCTAAATTTTTAAATGCTTCAGCATTTAATCGTTCTCTCCGTAAACTTATACGTAAGGAACACTAGAACGGTTAATCATTAATCCCTGCTCTCTACAGTCTAGGTAAGTTTCAGAATTAAGCTATGATTTCTATGCTGTTGCAGACCGTTAAACTGAAGTTTGATTTTCCATTCTACGGCTATAATGTGCGCAATATCACTATCGCTACGGGCGGTTTTCTATACACCGGCGACTACGTCCATAGTTGGCTGGCCGCCACCCAGTACATTGCACCGCTCATGGCAAATTTCGATACCCGCCTGTCGAACGCCAGCTACGTCAAGTACGCTGACAATGGTGAGTCATCGGAATCTCGAATGGATGGCATTTTCATGCTACCTGAAGGACGTTCGTTCTTACATTTCTCTCTGAACGAAAGTTAATCATTGCCAATCAGAGCCCATTACAGTCGAGTCATTTAAGAGATTCTTCGCGTGTTTTTGCCGTGGCTAGTATATTTCAAATAATCTGCGTTCCAAAATTTAAAGAAATCCTATTACGATGAGCGAATTCTTTCATAATTTCGTAAGCTTTTCAAAACATTTGATAGCCTTCTCAAATCCTTTCTCCTCGTTGGACTGATCATGTCGTAAAACGGTCGCGTCAGTAGTGATCAGCAACCTTTACGGAAGGGGGGGAGGGTGAGAGAGGAAGAATAAATCGGCGCAACGATTTGCCGATCGTAATTACACGCCTCATCATACAACCAGTGGTAAAGAAACGCGGCACAAAACGATAGTCGGAGTCGTGCACGGTTCTTAGCGCGAGATTGTTAAATCCTCTTTTTGATTTGTACGACAGGTACGGCGTTTACAGTAGAATGGGAGAAGGTAGTGCTGCAGGACAGGCCAAAAGCCGGCGCGTTCACTTTCCAAGTGACCTTGCATCAGAATGGGGACATCGTGTTCGTTTACCTAGTGATACCGGTCCTGGTTGAAAAAATCGCAGACACGATGCATCCCGTCAAAGTGGGCCTCAGTGATGCCTACATAATGGACCGAACTGTGTTCTGTGAGTATTCTCTTGTTTATTATCTAATTGTCCCATTTATTCGTTAGACGATTGGAATAATATCTTATTACTATCTATTGATCATGCACATATTGGATGCACAAAACTTCTATGTGCGATAGAGAATAGTGTTAACTGAACTCGTAATCAGTCTAATTTGACTCTTAGAAATAATATCATATTATAACAAACTTGCATGGTCTATCACTTGATGAGAGCCAAAAATTTGCAATGTAACATGTAAAATTGTCGTGCACAAGACGTTATTTATATTTATTAATTATTTAATTTATACACAGATATCGAAGAGAGAGTATCTTTAAATTGATATAATATATTTTAAAATCCAGATATAAACTATTTTTGCAATGGAAATTTAAATAGACACATATCGCAAATTATGTTTATCGTTTTTTAACAAATTAAATATCTCTAAAGATATACACCCGAAAAATTCAATTCGCTGATCTCGCTTTGTAGTCGTACGCCGGAAAACTATTTACGAGTACCATCGTGTCAACTTCAACCGGCAGGATATAATGAATTGCACGGTCATTTACCTGAAAGCATTGCCTACATGCCTCAATTCCGACAACTGCGCGGATTGCCTAACAAAGGTGCCAGACTTCGATTGCAAGTGGTGCTCAGAGCTAAACAAATGCAGCACCGGTACGTCCCGACAGCGACAGGAGTGGTTGTCGAAGAGTTGCGACGTTCACAACATCAAAGAGATAAACAATTGTCCAGCGCAAATTACAACCTACCACCCTAAGGGTGATGAATATGATCATGATGGCCATGTGCATCCAGAAGAGTCGATCGCTAATGAGATGGGCACGAAACAAGAACGGTCTGGCAATACTATGGAAAGTCCTAGTAAGTTGTTCATCGTTTGCGGCGGTATCGAGTCATTAATTTGACAAACTCTTGTATATGTAGATTCGTACGTGATATAAGTGACTTCAAATTTTATACAAAAAATGCAATTTCTTAATGTTATGTTTACCGACTGAAATTAATTCGCATAATTTCTGCAATATTTTAGCACAAAACACGTTTAATCGTTAATCGAAACAATGTATTCGCGAAATCGAAACAAACGAATTTTGTATTATTTGCTCTAATAACCTCATTTTTTTTTGTTGAAATCCAAGATAATTAGATTTGTCATATTAAGCAATTTATTTCGTTTATTTTTTAGATTCGAATAAGGTAAATATGAGCGTTTCAGGGATAATCGGCATTCTCACAGTTGTCGCTTTAGTGGTAGGTCTCGTGGGTTGGGGTGTATACGCTTATCGTAATCCTCACAGCGCATCGGGACAAATGCTAATAAGGGTAAGAATTTTTTTTAATTATAACATTAAATTATATAATAGTAGCATTACGTAAATGAGTATAATTATCGTTTTTTTCCATGCTTTTCATTCTTTTATTGTTCGTATTATCATTATTGTTTAAAATATTATTTATTATTGCGTCTATTAATTCTTTACTGTTAACCTATTGAAAATTACCTATTAAATATTGATTATTAATTTATCAAATTTCATATATACTGTATAATCATTGAAATATTGATAATTACACATTTTTCGTTTTAATTGACTATTAAATATGGATTTTTTACTTATCAATTTTATTGGTTCCTTAATACCGCATATGTTAATTTTGCGTTTACTGATCTTATCTATCACGAAATTGACCTTTCAGTATCGTCCGAGTCAATGGAGCTGGCGAAGAGGCGAGGCCCGTTACACAGCCGCGACTATTCACATGTGATGAAGTGTCGACAGAGATCCAGTCACAGTCAATGCGAAACTGTCGAGTAAATTTCCTATTAATTGTAGTCGAACATGTCGAGTAAATCTGCAAGAGCAAAGATGCGATGCAGAATGTCTACTCACGATGACCCGTTGCTCGTCAGGTTTGCGCTCAATCGCATTAATACGAAAAATCGCTTTTCTCATGCAACGAATTCCACGCGGAATCGATTAATTGACGACCATATATTGAGAGAACATATCGCGGTATTTAAACGATTTTATTATATACGAAAATCTGTCGTATATATAATAGTATTTTAACGATATGAGACAAATTGCGTATAATTGACAATAATTAAGATTACCTTAGAAAAAAATCTATTCCGCTGGAAATTGTAAAACTTCTATTTACTTATGACGAGTTTTTTCGAATAATCATTATCAATTCGGTAGAACATGTATATATAAATTCATTAATTCTGACAAACAAAAAATACCGCTCCTTACGATTATACCAAACAGAGAAGAATTTTGAGACATTGTGAACCGCATTGCGACACGTTTGCGTTTTTTTCTTTCAAAACAATGGTTAACAATCGGTACAATTTCGTTGAGTTTATTTAGATATCTCGAACCCGTACAGAATTATTATAATCTTATTCTTGAATAGATGGAAATGCGATGTTCGATACAAGATCCTTTCTCGCATACCAATGGCGTTGGAAATCGTACTCGGCGAAGTGACACCGATATTAAACCATGCTTTGAAACATGATCAATGACACAAACTGCGGACACGAGAACCGGTATTGTTCCGACGGACCAACGCTCTAGAGTCTAGAGATTCCGTTCGCGGTTTTTTGCAATGTCGAAAAATGATCGTAATATCGAGACACGGGCGACGACCGGCAACGCCGAGCATTTATGTGATTCTTAGCAGCACGTGGTATACCTTGTTATTGTTTGAGAATTCGTTTTCTTTTTTTTTTTTTACGTTAGCAAATTCAAATAATTGTTTTATATATACGTAATATTCACAAAAAGAGCGACGTTTTAAAAAAGGAAAGAAAAGGAAGAAAAAGAATTAAAAATATATACAAAATTTCGATCTAGCGTGGTGAAATTTGGATGGGCTTATGCTACAGTTCGGTAAGCTATTTGAGCAGTCAACAAAGGAAGAGAAAGAGAAAAGAAGGAATGTTTCTAAATTATTTCTAATTCAGCTTACATCGTTTGCGACCTAGAATCACTTGCATTGTTGTCGTTACATTCCAAAGCATGCACGTTTCTCGAAAGTGAATTAAAAAGGAACATACGAACTGTAGTTTTATTGTCCCAAATTATCACACAAAACACATATAAATATATATATATATACCATAAATAACTATACAATTATATGTATTAATAATACTATATATACATATAATTGTATATAATTATTTATTTATAAATATATATTAATGAAAAGTATATACATATAAATGATTATATATATGCTCTGTAATTATATAGTTTTAACTATATAATTATGTGCAGTTACAATTATATAAATAAATTTTTTTATATACAAAAATATATTTTACGACGGAATTTTTCGAAGATCACATGAGCACTTATAATGCGCGTGAAATGATAAATGATCTAAAAGAAAAAAGGATAGCACGAGATAAAGATTTTATAGCATCTACAATTTCATTAGTTTGTGAGTGTATATAGTAGTTCTACGAAAACAATATAATTTTTATCTATTTTTAAGTATATAATTTTCACTGTCAAAGGGTGCCTTCTTCGTAAAATTTTCAAACGTCGACATATTGTGTATAATAATAAATAAGCGACGGAGAGGCCTGAGGGGAAAATCTCACATTGTAAATCACTATTCCAAAAAAATTGCTTCGCTCCTCTTTGCGAAGTCGAATTTTCTACGCAGTAAAGCGAGGGGGTAACCACTATCTGAAATATTGTTCCACAGATTACATGATTTCATTTAATTTCATATAATTTTATTTGATGATAAATAATTTTTCCTCATTATATATGCGGTCATTTGGTAAAATAAACGATTTTATCTAATATCACACAATTATTTCTTGTAATTGTCGGATTATATATCGAAATTTTATATAAATTTTATAATGATTTCACGGACTCCGTCCCACGATTACATTAAGTGATTACCCCCTCGCAGTAAAGATTTAGTGTTATGAATATCTATAAACAAATTATAATCTATTAATATTAATTATAGATATTCATATTGCGATATCGTATTGCATATATCGATTGCGATTTTACCACACGACGAATCTAACCACGGAGGAGACTGGAATGAATTATTGTCAAACGGCTTTTCTTACATTACTGTGTACGATTTAATTCATAGTTTGTGATAATAAATATTGTAATTATTATAGTAAGTTCTACATATAGTTTTGTTTTTCTTCGGGAACACTTTTCGCATAAAAAATTCCTCATACCCAGCGACGACAAGTAAATAAATAAAATATCTATTTTGCAAAAATGATAGTTTCAGAGAGAGAGAGTACAATATAATTATTTACAAAAGTGTAAGACGTTCACAATTTAGATTGAAAAATCATATATAACATACTTGCAGTCGATAAGCATCTTGCGGTTTCATATCTCGATTACTAGGTGACACTCCATGTATTAAACCATGGAGTCTATTCTTGAATCTATATTGTATAAAAAATCTATAAATAATACATGTTGTAATATTTTTGCAATATTTTTTAGAAATGAGATCTCATATCCACGTACAATCAGAACCTATTTGCATTAGAATTTATACTAACAAAAAATTGTATTGAGAATTTTAATTATTATACTTTTGTTTTCTAAATTTGCATATATATCATATATAATTTTATCAATAAATATAAAATATATTTAGCGGGGATAACAATTTTTTTTTTATTTCTAGGAAGTTGATAAATTTTTCATTGTCATGATTCGAATGTTGCGCGATATATATTATTATTATTATTTTATGCTTTCACGCATCGTGCTTTTTTAAATAAAAAACAATTTCAAGGATACCATTAAAATTATTACGGCGTGAATGGCGCATTGAACAAAATTTTAAATAGCGTCCTCAATCTTCGTTAAATTCTATGTTGCCGTCATTGTTCTATAGCAGTTGGGACATTCGTAAATGACTGGCGTCAGACTCAACACATTAGAACCATTTAGCTATGTGACGAGGAAATTGCGACGAGAGCACCTCCGCTCCTGTGCGGAAGGGGTGTACAGTGCGCACATGAAACACATGCAGTCGTAATATGTAATGAGAATACGTCGGGACATGTATGTTCTCGCGGGAACGTGTTGACATGCCGTATCGGAATTTCCTTTCATACGAATCACACGGCGAGATACTAGCTTTAATCGTAATATTTCAATGTTAATAAAAATTTCATCGTTAAAAAATAATGTACTGCACTTGAGAAAAATAGGCTTAAAGATAAAGATTTTTTTAAATAAAAATTTTATTACTTTGTTCTTAAATAATGTAAAACACAGAACGGAATTTTGTAAAATTTTGTAAAATTGACTTGTCTACTCGCAAACTGCTTTGTAAAATTATAATATCTAACGTATCTCACGCGGAAATGCAAGACTCTCATCATCTTTCTCGAGGACTTGCTAAAAGGAATATGTAATTTTGCATTGACGCATAATGAATGTATTCTCGTATACGAGCGAAAACTGAATATATATTCGCGAACTAATTGAATAATCATATTTGCTACATTTGCAATTTATTTTCTTTTATCAAATTTGCAAATTTGTTCGCTCTTTGTTTGTATGCTAATAATATATATTGCAATAATCAATTATATTATATTTTATTCACGTGCACAGTTTTAAAAAGGAATATATTGTCGTAAATATGCTTAAATTAAAGTGAATTCGTTGAATAAAGATTATCTATAACAAATAACACGTTACAGAAACAAAATAACGTTTCGCCACTTTTTGCTGCAGTTTTTACCAGGTTTTTAAATTTTAAATAAAATAATAAGTTGCCATTGTTTTTCATAGTTTTTGATTTAAAAATTAGTTAATAGAAAGTATATTTTTCGCAAAAGTTATATTTCATTCCTAAAGCTGTTCTTCCTTTTCTGCTATAACTGTGCCAGTTGCGCTGCAGTTGAATTACTTCATTTCCACTTTTGTGAAAAATTTTTAATTATCTTGAATTTATGTCTTGCCAACGTTATATATATATACAGGGTGTCATTAATCGAGCGAATCACCTATCATGAGCAGGTAGAGTAGACCGAACTGAGTCGAAAAGTCCTGTACCATTTTGAGATTGCAGCAATAGTTAACGAGATATTAATTTTTAAAGATTGGCGAATACGCGCGTCCGTTCGGCCTACCACACATTGAATGTACGCCTACAGAACGCCGCGATGGGCGCGCGGGCCGCGGGAAGCTGCGGGACGGCCTGGCAAGCGCGCCGTTCAAGTCATGACGTTTGGGGGCTAGCGGTGGTGTGCGCGGCGCGGGCGGCGGAGCGCTTGACACATTTATACACACACACACGTACACATCTTCTACTTTTGTCAAAATATATAATATATCGTTCTTCTTACTTTGTGTGTCAGCAACCGAAGGCAATTTTTTTGACTTTTCGAATGTTTTATCAGACGAGTAAAAAAAGTTACATATGGCTTTCAGAATTTCGAGATTTATTTGCACAGATTTTTAGAAATCGGGCTTCATCCGCGTTTTTATTGAATCTTTTCAATAAAACGGATTTTCGATGCGTAACGAATCCTATTTCATCCTAGCGATATGTGACAAAAGCTGCCGCTTTTCGATGCACTGAGGACGCTATATGTTTTTTTATCGTGCCATAAAAACCTTCCATAAACGCGCGGTTTTCTTTCCTGTATAATGCAACTCATTTTAACTTGTGAAACTAAAATCGCGCAGAAGCAATTTTTTTATGTCCGAACATTAGAATCGTTACATCGCATCATTTAAAATAATTAGCATCGTACACTATAGTGTATAGTATCTCAGTAGTATACTAAAATGTATGATTAATA